CAAAACATGCATTGTCGACTCCAATTCAAATCCAAATAATACAACTCATCCAAGTTTAATGAAAGTAGACAAACAACTAAAAAAACGGATTTTTACAAATATTGGTGAGAAATATTTTCCGTACATTTAACCAAACTAAAAAGAACTTTCTAGCTTAATTTTATACTTAAGAAAAAGAATCTAATATAATATTAGATCCAAATGATATAAAGAAAAGTTGACATATTAATGGAATAAAGACTTGTTGTAACTTATTTCAAAATATTACAAGAGTCTTTAGCATAAAGAAGAAGAAGAAGAAGAAGAAATTTTAAATATAGATATTAATAATTAAAATATCAAGCATATTAAGGTTATTTTCATCCATTAGTATTTAATTTAATTTATATATATATAATATGTACATCTAAATCTAGGAGATATAATTCTATAAATATATTAAAAAAACCATTGCAACAAAGTTTAAGAAGGTCAAAAGAAAAAATAAAAAAATAAAAAAATAAAAAAATAAATATATTAGATAGTTTTTTATATTGATAAGTATAAATGAAGTTTTTTAAAACTCCAAGAAGAAAAGAAAAATTAAGATCTTTAACAACACAAGTAGTAATAAAATTAAAGTCCTTATCTAATTTGATTTTGTTTTTGATAAGATTTATTTTATTTTATTCAATACTAAAAAACTAATTATATAGTACATAATTTAAATTTTAAAATGTTATAATATTAAAATATAAGTTATTTGATACATAAGTCTAAGATCCATAAAAGACCTTAAATAAGTTTTTAGAAGTGCCTATATATATATATATATATATATATATATTAGAATAATAAGCAAGAATATATAATGGATATTAAAAAAATTAAATCTATCTTAAATATGCAATTAATTTTATAAATAAGAAAATAATCATAATTATAGAATAAAGATTAATGTAACACTTTGAACTATTTATATATTAATTTAAAATCTAATATGAAGCAAGTTCCATCAACAAAAGAATCATTTATTATTTATAAAATCTAATGATACTTGAAAAGGTCATAATAATTAAAGATTCTATATCTAAGAAAGTAATTTGTTTTTTATATTTAAGATATATCTTTTTTTTATAAAAATTAATAGAAAGATCAAACTTATATTTATAATAAAAATGGAGACTAATAATTAATTTAATATAAAAATATTGATTATAGAAAAACATAAAAATTTCATTAGATTTTGTTAAAAAAAAAATCTTGAAATAAGTAGCAAATAACTCTTAAATAATTTTTGAAATTTTAACTTAGATCAAATTAATCTAAATAGACAACATTAAGAGTGTAATCTATAACATTGCTCTTTCAAAAGCCTAAAACTTCAATGATATGGATGTAGAATTCTTTAACTCATTGATATATTATTAATAGAATTCATTTAAATAAAATTTATGAACCAATTATTAAAAAAACATAATTAATAACTAATTTTTTTAATATTTTAGCACAAATTAAAGAAATAAAATATATTAAATTATAAGAAGTCTATGATTAATTTAAACATGCCATCTAAACTTTTTTTAAAGATTTTTTAACATAAATTAATGTAAAGCAATTTTTTTTAATATTCCAGTAATTACTTATATAATTAGATAAGAATAAATAAAAGTAGATTAATTTCATAATATCTTCTAGAAAAGCTTTCTAGAAGCTTCAAAGATGAAGCTTTGACTTTACAAGTATTTGTAGTTGATTGGTAGATTAAAAACTTGGTTAACAAGTTAGCTACATGTCACACATATTAATAATTTGTGGAATAAGTTAACTATATGGCTCACATGTAGAAAACTTCACTTGTAAGTTAAGACATGAATCTTGTAAAGTCAACACGTGTTGAAGGTCCTATAGAACATTGCTATGTAGGTCCTAGTTAGATAGTATATATAGAGGCAAGAGTAAAGCCTTCTTCATTCTTGTCAATGCCTTTTTAGTCCTTAGTCTTGTTTCAAGACTTTTTAGTCTACTTAATTTTAGCAATAGCCATTCTACTTCAATGTATTATTATCTTTGAATGACTTTTTAATCTCTTTGAGTGACACAAAAGTGTATTGATATTTCTTTCTTTGAGATCCATGTTTTTGATATGCCTTTAGTCCCTTATTTATTCTATTTGATAGAAAATACTTTTAATGTATTATTTCAAAGAGCACTAGTACATAAATCAGTAAAAGAAATTAAAAGTTCAAATTAATGCATCACAACAACTCATAAGCTATGCAAATAACTTCAACCTCACAATTATAAGGAAATAAAAATTAGCCACTATCAAAAAAAACATATTTTGAAAATTTAGCCTAGATTTTAATATAAAAATTGATTAGATCTAGTATTTTTATAAGTAAACAAATAAAGAAATAATAAAAAAATACTTTGTTGGATTTTTATTAAAAATTAATAATGTAGATTAAATTTTTGTTGATAAAATCATAAAAAATAAAAAATAAATTATGAAAATATTTATTATTAAAATTTCATACATTTTAATTCACTTAAAAAATTACAAGCATGAATAATACACTACTGTAATTATTATCAATCTTTAAAATATCCGTTCATCTTTTTCATGAATTTTTAAATTTGTGATCGAGGATCATACTTTGCATTTTCAATAAAATGAAAATAAATTTCAGATGTATAAGTTTGTTATTTTAGGTATGACATGTAGTTTCAATTAGTGATTTGTTGTCATCAGTTTATTTCCATAATTCTATTCAATTTGTTGAAACAAAATTGTAAAAAATGAAATTAGTAGAAGTGTGTAACATTTCACAATTGAAATTGATGATGGATAGTGGTGAAGATTGATGCTAATTGGGAAGAGTGGAGCATGAATAATCTATTCAGATTTTCCTAATTTTTTCAACACAACGTGCATTCCAATAAAAAATTTACCCTAAACCAAAGAAAATGAGTAAATAATTATGAGATGAAAGAAAGAGAGATGAAAGAACTTTATTGTAGGATGTAATTGACATTATAGAGCCAAGTAGGTAAGCAAAAGTAATTGAATTCTAGCCTTACTTGCAAATTTTATATTTAAAAAAACTGTTATAAATTTGGTTTTATAAAAAAGTAGTAAACCAATCAATTATGGTGGATAAGAGATAGTAATAATAATATCAACAACCAAAAGAAAGAGGCCAAAATTTAGATAAATAACAATGACTTTATTACTTTAATGATTATTGCTTTATCACTAAAGTGATTAACTATTAGTATGTAATGTTTGTTTAGAGGTGAAGTTAAAAAGCTATGCATCACGTTTTAAAACTTACAAAAAGTGGACTTTAAGTCATATTTATCATTGATTTATTTATTTATTTTCAAAAAATGACAAAGAAAAAGTCAAGTCTCAATATCAAAATTGAAAATTGAAAACACCCATGTGTCCATCATACTATTTGAACTATGTTGCATTAAACACATGGCATAACTGCAACATGAAAACGCTCTTTGCAAGTGGCTCCTCAATTGTAGAGCCTTGCTTTTAAGCCAACAATCCTTTCTCAAAGAAAACTTCCTTTAAAAAGCAGAACCACAAACTTAGTGCGCAAATTATCCATTCGAGTCAAACTTTGACTAATTGTGATATTTATCACTCTTGTGAAGAAAAGGCAATAATTTGTAACTATATTTAGTTCTTGTGGCATTTTAGAGATCAGATGCTAACTTCCAAATTTGTTGGTTATGTACTCCTTAAACTTTGATACAACAATAATTTTATAAAAGGATGCAAAATATGGCACATGCCAAAATGGGGTTGTGTCAAAAACGATACTACTCACACTTGCTATTAGAATTTCATGCTATTGTGTGCTGTTTAGAAGAAAGGGTAAAGATTAAAGTCATAGTTTGATGTGCTACCAAGGTTGACTTGGGTTTTATTAGTCAACCCATGACTTAGAGGCTTGAATCCTTGATATTCTCTTCTTCTTATTATCTCAAATAATTGCCTTATTTTGAGTCTATTTGATTCCACTTTTGCAAGATATATTATTCCACAGAAACTTTCATTGAATAGACTTCCCTTGTTTTCATTCCTCTAATGTTTACCCCACACCAAAAAGTGAAATATCAAACAGGATGAGGAGAAGGAGCAGGGGAAAGAAAAATAGGAAAAAAGGAGAAGAAGACGAAGAAGAGGAAACATGAATAATGATCTTTCTTCCTTTACCAAAGTTCATTCAACATGTGATTTAAGGTGATCTTACAATTCAAGCTAATAGTGAGTGATGTGGGAAAGGTTTGTAAATTTACACCAACACTATTAATAAATTGGAATCTCGTTGTGCAATTATCACCATTTTATTGTTGAAACCATCCTTGATGATGCAAGTTGAAACTTCCTTTTGTGGGTAGTTTTCTTGTGCCACTTGTATACATATATACATATATATAAATATATATAGTAGTATTATCATTGTCACGCATATTATATTTTTTGTTTTATTATTTGGTTTTTTCTAACTTTATTTTCCATAATATTCCCGTTTGTTTTTGTTGTTTTTGTTTTTTTGTCTTCATCCTTCACAATCTTCATTATTTTCTAAGCAAAATCTCAGATTTATATCTCCCCCTCCCCCTCCCCCCTCCCCCTTTTTACTTTAATAAAAGAAATACAACTTTGTGTGTTGTCAACACTGTCATATGCCAATTGGAAAATTAGATTACACAGCTCTGAACACCCATTTATCCAACTAAAGACATACACACACACTCACCACCACCGCCCTCGACGCTTTCATAATCAATCATACAAAACCCACACATCATTTTAACAAAGACAGCAACTGAAAGAAAAAGGAACTAAAAGAAAAAGACAACAAAAGAAAAGGCAAAGCTCCTGCAGTGCTCATGAGGCGGCAATCCCGAGGCGGAGGAGGAGTAACGTCCCCACGGCTCACAACCCTTATGGGACAAATCAACACAACACAAAGCAAATCCCCCCCCCCTCCCGCAATCCTCCGCAGCCAGTGATCGAGAGCTGAGGCGTCAAATGTACCGCAGCCACGAGGAGATCTCGCGCCGCCGAATAGAACCAGCTCACCGTTTGCTGCAATTCGTACCCAAATGCCAGAAACATACACAAGCGCAAGCAAGAGATGAAAGCTTGTGCTGCCACGGATCTCACCGACGGATGAACGAACGCGTCGAGGTAGAAGATCTGACTCTGGACAGAATGGAAAAAATCACTTCACGTCTTCCGGTTTTGTAATTGTGACTGTGTGCTTCAAAAACTCGTCGATTTGGAAGAAGAAGTAGAAGAAGCAGAAGCGGAAGAAGAAGAGGAGGGGGAGGAGGAGGAAGAAGGAATGGCGGTGGTGTTGTTGAGTTTCCCACGCTGGCGTGACACATCACGGGCAACGGCACCCAACTGTAGCGTCGCCAACAAGCACGTCCCACTGTCTCGCCCCCTTAGTGCTTGAAAATCAAAAATATCTACCCATCCACACCAGACAGATCCTGACGGGTTTGTTTGGAAAGACACAAAAAAACAAAAAAAAAAAAAGGAAACAATCTTGAAAGCCCGAGAAGGACGCATCTGGGTAACCTTGCGCGGCACGAATCGGTGGGAATTTAGAAAACTTTCCGTGACTGGGAGATCTGTGCGGAATGCCAACAAGGGTGAGCAGTTTCCATAGCTGGAGGGACGAGTGGGTGGGTGAGAAGGAGGGCTGTGGCGGCGTAAGAATCCATGCACGGATTGATCGTTGGTTCACGCATATGAGTTGGCGGATTCCTGAGGAAGCACATGAACTCCAGCATCTGCCAGTGAGCCGAAGTGGCACCGCGAGAGAATATCATGTACGCTTCGTTCGAAACGGCTTGTTGGCTCTGATCGATCGTTGGGTCTTCTTTCACAGGGCTCTCGAGCGAGCCAGTGAGCTGGTCATTCTCGCGTGGTGAAGTCGTCGATTGGTTGTTGTTGTTGCATTGGGGTGGAGTGCTACTGTTAGTGTGTTGGTGGAACGGTTTGCGACACGGGAGGTGGTTTGTCACGTCGGGTGGAGCAGGTGGCCATGGCAACGGTGGGATGTGATCAGAGAGGTGGTTAGGAGTGGGGAGCAAGCTAGCGTCAGATGGATCGGAGACGAGACCATAGCTGTAGTGGTAGATCTAATTGCAATTGGAAGGGGAGCGGCTGTTGTGGGATTGAGCATTGTGGGGTGAAAGGGGTAGAGGCGACGAGTTTTTTAGGAGCAAGAACGAGAGCTACGGAGAGGTGTTGCGACGGGGGCGTGTAGTGAAGAAGGCAATTGTAGGGGGAGAATCGCCTTGTGAAGGAGGGGAGAGAGCGAGAGCGAGAGCGAGAGAGGCAATGAACCCATGAAAGATCGGCGCGGAGGAAGTGACAGCAATTGATGCAGCTCACCAGGGCGTGAAAGAGATGGCGAGCCGGGCCGCGCTTCGGATCAAACCGGAAGGCGCCGGCGGGCGCAGGCTGCTGGTGGGTTTGAAACTCAACACCTCCTGTAGGAAGATGCTCACATGGACCATCGCCAAGCTCGCGCAACCTGGGGATCACATCCTTGCACTGCATGTCTCCTCGTTGCCGCTGTTCAAAGGTGCCGATCGATCACTCTTGTCCTTCCCGTCAAGTTTTCGTCTACTCCACTCGCACTTTCTGCAACACTTTCCGCAATGCAAGCTACACTTGTCCTCCGCTCTTCTCTTCCTTCTCCATGTCCATCTCGTTGCAGGAAGGGGTCTGATAATCGTTCTGTCTCCGAGAGAGGCTTCCTTGCGAAGCGGACATCGCTGGCAGTGGATGTGACCCACCATAACTAAGTCCGTTGCAAGTTTCGTGGGGCCACACTCACCTGCTGAATCGAAATAATAAGTTCACGTGCCCCTCAGAGGGGTCGATGATTGACGTGAGTCATGGCCGAGCCGGAGTGCATATTCCTCGTTGCCCTATCAAAGTGTTGAAGTAGTCAAAAGTTGTTCTCACTGTTCGTAGCTCGTCTTCGGTCTCCTTTTCCTCTGGAGTTGCGTTTCGCCTTTATAAATTTTTATAGACTTTCTCCAATGACCGTTGTTTGTACAGTTGGTCCCTAACAGCACAGAAGACAATGTAGACACACTCGATCATCTCAATTGGGTAGTGGTACAGATAGAAGCAGAAGAAGAAACAATTACCTGCATCTAAAGTAAGAGCTCAACTGACTGTTTTCTTGCCATCATTCCTCTTTAGAGAGTCTTGCTTCCTCCCTGCTAGACTCTTCCTGCTGCCTACGCAGCTGTTTGCACTACACCGAAAGTAATTGGTGCCATCATAGAGCTGTAGTTGTGAGTCTTTCAACGTTGCTCTATCGTGGAGCTCTTGAAGCACTGTAAAATACAGTTTGAGGCTAGTCTGCAATTTGGCGTTTACATGTTCTTGAAGCGGGTGCACTGCGTCGAGAGTCACATTCTTACAAGCGTTGTCATCGTCGTTGCTGTCGCCGTATGAGTCCGTTTGTAGAATTCGGGTTGGGTTGGTCTGGCACCATCGGTGGCATTCAGGAGTAGGCCTCAAGTATTCTGTTATAGATCTTAAGTATGTCGTTGATCCAGACCTCGAAGTGACGAGTTTTCTCGTTCTTTCCGTGAAGAGGAGGGAAAAAACTTCAATCCCAGAAAAGCGAGAGCACTACCAGTAGCACAAGTTCCTGAATATGTCTCGGGATTTGGTGTTGCACTGATCCAGCTCTTCAGCTGCAGCACTGTAGCAGAATGCCTTACGCACATTACCTTTTCTTTTTCTTCTTCTTCTTCTTCTCAGTCTCAGTGCTGTTGTAGGAAGACTCGAAATTGCTGGTTCACAATCGAGTGAGAAGGATGGATTTCTGAATATGGAGTCTTACGTGCTAATGGAGTATCCACAAGAGAAACCTCGTTTCTTGCCTGTCTTACCTACAAACGTTTACCTTAACGGCGCTGCATAGACCATTATCCTTGGGACTAGCCTTAGTAACCCTAGCTATGGTATACAAAAGGGAGTGGCTCAATTCTAGAGATATGTAGCGTTGAGAAGCAGGTTTCTAAAGTATTGCAGTCTATGCTGGTGGTTCATATAAAACTTGGGAGCGCTTTCCTTTGTCAAGGTTGCCGTGATCTGTGCTGTGCGGCTCAGGCAGTTCAATCGGACTGGTCATTGTCATCTATGCTGCAATGTTCTTCAAGACATATCTCAGTAAAATTATTTAGTTCGAGTTCCATTCTAGCTGACTGATTCAAATGAACATGCCGAAATAGGGGCCACAAACAAGGAGGAACAGTCTCATGTCAAGCGATTGGCCAACACTTTGCGTGGGGTCCTATCAGTTTACGAAAGCTTATGCAATCTTAAACAAGTTCGTCCTTTTCCTCTGCATCTTGTAATTTTTTTATTTTTATTTTTATTTTAATGTGCTCTGGAATTATTTACTCTGGAAGGCTCACAGTGACGGTCAATTCTGTCATACTTTGTGCGAAATTCGACTCTCTAGGGTGTACTCTCTAACCTTATTTTTTTCACCCCCAATTTTTAACAATGAAAAATGAATAGCAGATCAATCTACAATTGGAGATCGTCATTGGTTACAAGGTCAGGCACGTCTTAGTCGAGGTCGCACGAAGTTACGAGGCTCATAAACTCATTCTCGGCAACAACGGAAGCTTCTCTGTTGGGTTAGTTATATCGTTAAGTTTCAACGAATTTTTGTGCAGATCCTTCTTATTCATCGAGCATTTTTGTGCTTATGTCTTTCTTATTCATCGAGCATTCTTATGTACTTAATGTTGGTGAAGATTATCGATGAGTTGTGATGACGGCTACTTCATTCCTCATCATATAACAAACATTGGATTTTCTGCAGGCAGAAGAAGGCACTCGGTAGATACTGTTTGAGGCGGCTACCCTGTACGTGCACGGTTGTGATTCTCGATCAGGGCGAGATTATTTTTGACAAAGCGGGAACTCTTGGCGCAGACATGACAAGTAATTAATTTTCTAACTTTCTGGCAAGTTAGAATTCTATTCGAGTGAAAATTGGGTGTGCCTGGGCTTCTAATTCTCACGAGTTCGTGGACTGATATTTACAAGTTATTATCTCTCTTGTATCATTCAGAGTTGGACATGATTAAAGTGTTTCGGCGAAGTATGAGGTTTGGGCGGCACAAGAAGCTGGGCAGCAGTGTCAGATTGGATGAATCCGAAGAAACTGGAAAACCAACCGTTGGAAAACTACAAACCAGTTGTTCTGACATACCTCATTACCAACAAAGCGTTATTTTCAGCTCTCCTCCTTGTGCCGATCGGGACCTGAGCTTTGGGTCCTGTTCCTCGGCTCTGCAAGAAGACTTTTCGAACACACCTGTGCTTCCCTCAGAGAGACGCAACAGCACGTCTGGATTTGAGGCTCTTCGCATATCATTCTCCAAGCGCCGTGCGCAAGGGACACTAAAAGCAGCTCAACTCAAACTCTGTGCTGCGGAAGCAGAAGTTGAGAGATCGGATATGTTTCTCCTTCAGAATCAGGACAGCACTGACATGACCAAGTCCGATAACTTATACAATTCTTACCCCCAAGATTCTGTAGAATCTGAACAAAGTGTGACTGATTCCGAAATGCCAAGAGCTTCCGAGGATGGCTTTGTGCCTGGTTGGCCACTTCTACACCAAACCATGGGATTTGAGAAAAAGATTAAGCCAGCTGTAAGTATCATAGATCGCGACTTGTCTGTTGTCAAGTGGGCTTTGCAACTACCAAAACGAGGGCATGATCCATCACCATTTCTGAAAGAATCTAGGGATGAAGCATTAGAGATCAGGACCCAGGTTATGGCTCCTGGTCTCTCTCTAGCTCAAGAAGTTGGTTGCCTTTTCTTAAATCGACCGTGTACTGCATTCGCTTATGAGGATCTCGAAACCGCCACCTCCAGGTTTTCTCAAGGTTAGTCTTTATCTTTTCAATACTGGTCAATCTCATTCTGATCTATTTCACAGCTCAAGAACACTCAATGAGATGGATTGGGTGTTTGCAGACAATTTGGTAGGACGTGGAGGAGGAAGCGAAGTCTTCAGAGGTAACTTGCAGGATGGGAAGGTAGTGGCAGTAAAGCGACTAAACCATGGTCCCCAATCAGAAGTAGAGTTTCTGATCGACATTGAAATGAACACAGCTTTGACACACCCAAACATTATTTCATTGATTGGTTACTGTGTGGAGTCATCACATATGCTCCTTGTCTACGAATATCTACCCGAAGGAAACCTGGAAGACCAGCTTTATCGTAAGTCCTCACAAGCCTTTGGCAAGTGTGTCGAATTACGTGTATTTATTACTCAACAAATGACAGCTCACGCAGTCTGGTTGTTTTCCTCTTGTCTATTCGATGTTGAACTTTAGGGGTTATGGTTTGAAATTGTGGGGTGCATAACTTCGTTTCTCAGCGGCAGGAAAGGAAGGGTCGATGCTTTCGTGGGAAGTCCGGCACAAAGTAGCAGTGGGTATTGCCAAGGCTTTGGACTACCTTCACAAGGGTTGCGCTAGGCCTGCAGTTCACAGAGACGTCAAAACCTCGAACATACTTCTTACCGCCAACTTTGAATCTCAGGTTCCCCTCCATTCAATTCTCTTGTTTATGATTTCTGACGATAAGCTTCAAGTATACTGCGGCCACTCAGAAGCGTGTCCAACATATTGTGTGGCAAAGATTGTGGACATCAATTGTTTGATCAACCAGGCGTACGATAATACGAGCAAGCTCTCTGGTTAGTGAAAATTGTTGTCAACATATGATATGTGGTCCTGGGATGTCTTCAGTTATCAGACTTTGGGCTTGCGAAGTGGCTACCCACCAAGGCTTCCTACCTCCTTTGCAATGACGTTGTTGGAACGTTCGGGTAATGCGAAGTGTCTTTCTTTCTGATTTCCATTTTCGTTCCTCTTATGGCTTAACGCTCAGCACTTTGGGAGCTATATTGGAGATATGCCAGTCAAGTTTTGATGAATTCCTAAAAGAACCAATTGGTCTACCAGGTACTTGGCCCCGGAATACTTCATGTATGGGAGGGTTAACGAGAAGACGGATGTTTTTGCATTTGGTGTGGTTCTGCTCGAGCTTATCACGGGCAGGAAACCGATCGATACCACCAGGCCCAAAGGCGAAGAAAATCTCGTGAAGTGGGTAAGAGTCTCGAACTCAGAATCTGATCGTGACTGATTGCCATGTTGCTTCCTCTACTGTAACTCCTGCCATATGGGTTAGTCAATTCGCTAGTTTTCCAGCCGATTCATGTGGCAAATCATGTGTTTCCGTGAACAGGCAAGGCCTCTGCTGAGTGACCGAGCAGTGAACAGATTAGTGGACCCTCAGTTGCAAGGCGTTTACGACGCTGGGCAAATGAACAACATGCTGATAGCAGCCTTCCTCTGCATTCAACAATCCACGCAGCGGAGAGCACAGATGAGTCGGGTATGCGTCCCCTCCCTTACGATCACCAATTGATCTTTTTCTTTTTCCTGCTTTGATGAATTTTACAAACGATTCCAATGCAAAGAGTCCCAGCGTCCTTTGAGAGCTCCCTGAAGCCGTGTCTACATTTCAGATACTACACATCCTCCGTGGCGACCATGACGAGGCTCTTAGCACCTGCTCAAGGTCCGATGAGCCCGAAGAGTTCGACAGTGCCTGCGACGGAGGAGCACAAGATTACTCTACTCACGAAGATTCAACCAACGACATCCGGAGCCACTTGGCGCTTGCGATGATGGGAGTGGAGGACGACGCAACGTCGCAGTGCAGCGTGGATCTTAGCAGCGTTGACATCCCTCATTCAAACAAGGAGCTGGAAGAGTATCTGGAAGGCCGATTCAGCCGATCAGCCAGTTTCGAGGACTAAACTCGCTGATTATTCACATCTTGTTCACCTTTGACATTGGAACATTCATAGAGCTTGAGGAGCCAATTCATTCATGACTTCAACCTGTGAGGCATCGATCAGAAAATAGGTCTGTACCATACGAAAGCAGCTTTACATTACCTTCATCATCTTCTTCTTCTTTTCCGCCTTCTTCGACAGATTTGGAGAAAGAGCGGGAGCTTCGTGAAGCTCAAAGCCACCTCGTGTACAATAACAACCGCGAGATCGCAGCCTGTAAGAACCTTGTCACAGTTAGATGTAGGTGGCACTAAGTGCATATAATTCTGGTGTGTATTGCATTCAGACAAAGAGTAAAGACAGAGACAGAGACTGACAAAATGACAGACTGCGGGTGCCATCCTCTCATATTATCATTACACCGCCTTTTACCCTCTTCTGGGTTTCGTATACAATGTACTGTTTCTTGTTGCAGACAACAGCACCAACAACAACAAGCTTGTCGTTGTCGTCATCGTCGTGGTCTTCTTTGCACCATGTGAAGGTGACCCTTAAAAGCATGACTTTTAGGATTGAGTTTATGGACTTGGACATGACACTCGTTGAAAGTGTGGATTTTAGGGCTGGCTGTGAGGATATTTTTGTGATGGGAAACAATAGTAAAACACAGTATTTTATGTTTTTATTATTCAAAGATTAATGTGACAAAAGTTTGGAAGAGCAAAGGATTTGAAGGTTGAAATAATATGGAGCCATATTATGCAGATGGATAAAGACATATCAAAGCTTTGTAATAAAATAAAAAATATAAAAGAATCATGAATTAAAATCATAATTAGCTGTTTTTATATTATAGACATATTATATATATATATATAACACCTTTAAATGCTTATGATTCAAATTTCATTGTACATGTTAATATATCTAAAAATTAACAACAAATGTAATAGAAGAATTCAAATTCTTTATAAATAATGAATAAAAGGTTGAAATGGTATTCGAACAAAAATTACATAAATAATCCAAACAACAATATGATTGTCTTGAAGATTAAAACTAGTAGTTTAATGGCATCACCAAAGCTTGCGAGGCAAAATAAAACATAGTTTATATTACACTATAATATTATTTTTTTATTGCAAATGCACATAGTATAAATCACTTGTTGCAAATTTTGATTTATAACTTTTCACTCCAACATCAATTTTAGTTTCAATTTTTACTTATATTTGGATTTAAATTTTATTATGATAATAATATAACCAATCAGTTGTCTTTGAAAAATATTCAAAAAATAAAATATTCAAAAATAAGAAAAAATATCATTTATATCCTTGAAATATGTTAAAATATAAAAAATATTCATATATTATTGATAACAACATATCTTCTTCTTTTGTGATAATATCAAATCCATCCTTCAATCTAATAAGGCATGATAAATATTTTTTAAAAGTATAACTAGGGCCCAACCTACATCCTAAAGAGAAATTGGAGAGCCTTCTTTAGCACTTTATTGTACAATATGTCTCCTTATACCATGTAGACTATGGTGCGGTCATTTTAAACAAATGACATGGAGAGCTTGACTGTGGAAAATTGCAATACATTTATAGGGGTCGTAGCTATTGATGCAGCTATAGAAACTAACCAAAGAGCTTGACACATTGGCCTTGGAATTAAGATTGCCTTGACCTATCACTTGCAAGCCCATACTACTAACTACATTAAAATGCAATGACTTCAAATACAAGGCATAAAGTTGAAGTAAGTCAATTGGCAAAGATAATTTGGCACTTGGCACTCTCTCAAGAACACAAACAAAAAAAAGTACATGTAATGTTTAGGGCAACAAAAGATTGAAAAAATTCTTAACATCATTCTTTGAGAGAAGCATTTATATGCAGCATAGTCCAAATCAATCAAAATAGCTCAAAATCTTAATGTCAATTTTTGCATTTCAATTAGGAGTACTATAGTGCACAAACCAAGGAGGCATATTGTGCTAAAAAGTTCCAAAAATGGCATGTCAATTTCTCCACAATATATAGGTTGGGCCCCAATTGCACTTAAAAAAGAATAGTTATAATACCTTATCAAGTTAAAGGATAGATTTGATATTATTACAAAAGTGAAGAATAGATTTGCTATTATTAAGAATACATAGTTATTCTTAATATTTCAATATATTTCAGGGGTATATATGATATTTTTCTAAAAACTAACAATTTGACATAGTTATATTTTAATAATAGTTCAAATATTCTATTCATATAAATTAAATAACTAAAAAAATATTTTTTTATTAGTTTTTTTTATAGTATTTTATCTTAATTTATTAATTTATTAATGTAGTATAAAAATAATGTCTATTTTAGATTTAATAATAGAATATTCTATTTCAATAACACAATTTTGGTTTCTAAAGCATTTCAATTTTAAATTTAAGATTTATAGAGATAAGTATATATAATTCATTTTTACTTTGTTGAAATTTTTTTAAAGTAATAATTTATTATCTTTTATTAATTTTTCTAATAATGGTAATATTTACTTGTCATAATAATGTAAGATGACATTATAAATGAAATAATGTAAATAATAATTATTTTATTATTCAATGATATTTTATGTATCTTTATATTTAGTACAAAATATATACTTATAAATATAATTTTGTTTGTATACATTACATAGAATCATATATTATATTATTTTATCAAGTTAATATGATTTTAGTTTTTTATTGTAATTTTTTAAGAGTGTTATAATGTAAAATAATCAAAAATTATATTATTAAAATCTACACTTTATCACAATTATATAAAGTTTGTCTTATATGTAATATTATTTTTGTAGAAATCCATTTAAATATAATCCTTTGACACATAAAACTTAATTATATACTTCCTCTTTTTTATAGCTCATAAAATATGTTAATAGAGCACATTCATAAATTGTTTAACTGTTAAAACTTATAAGGAAACTGAAACGAAGGCATTAAGTGTTGTCAATTTAGAAATAGCCTCTGATAACAAGCTAATACAATGGCTATTATTGCAATGGACACTAATATACCAATCATTACCACGAGTACCATCTAATACTTAATGTGAATTATATGCAAACATGTAGACATTACTGAATTAATCAACTCCTTCATTTAACTCCAACCTTCTAACACTTAGCAGTGAAAGTTTCATTTGTTTGTGAAGTTAGAAATCAGGATGTCGAACATTTCATGTACCCAAAAATTTCTTCCCAGCCTATGATTAAAACTAATTTCTTTGTGTTTCAATAGTTTTATAATGAATTAGAAACCAGATCATTTAGTACTCTTCAACAAGTTATTCATCAAGCGAAAAATATTCACCTCTAGATGTAAATAAACATAAACTAAATACTAAGTGTTTCTAATTTTATATCATGTTTGTACGACTACAATGATATTAACCGAGAGCTTGTTATTCGCGTTAGAACATTCAATACAGTTTGTGATTCAATACAGTAAAATAGAAAAACTTGTCATGAACCAGGAATAAACCTGTTCTAAGGAAACTAAGCTGCATTTTCAATTCAATGAGCAGCTAAGACTTGACATAGTTTGATCTAAACACAACTTGTGACGGAATAAAGCAACACGTTTCTCGAGCTCAAAGTGGCGGCTTTCATAAGAGTATTTAAGATCCAACGCGCCTAGACATCACACACAACACTTCATACAAGGACAATCCACCATTTTAAATTGTTAAAAATACATTTAACGATTCAAATACCAGATTAAGGTCACCTGACGCAACATTTACCATTTTTCACAGTCCATATACACCAACAAATTCAGCTTGAGAAAATACAGCATGATGTTACAATTTAGATGTTTTAAGGACTGCTCAGATACATAATGCAAAGTTCGTAAGCACTATCGTGGAAGCATGGAAAAACACTTGCTGGCTAACATGAGTGGAGAACCATCCAGTCTCAATCTTCCTGATCCCTGTCCGGTGGCTTGCCGCAAGGCAACAGCATTCTCTGAAGTCACACAAGAACGAGATGAGGTGAATATCAAGATGATCCAAGAACAGCTTGGAGTATATAAAGAACCATCAAAAACGCAAGTGGACCCTGTTCAAATTCAGGACTTACAAATGACTCTAGCAATGTAACATACAGCATTAAGATTGTTCACCTGCATAAAATTGTAGCGCACTCGTCCAATGGATTCATTTTCAGCAACTGCAAAGAAGGCCAACAGTGGTGCATGCCCGATATAGGAGGCATAACTGTCCCTCTGAATGTTCACGGCCCACTCGCTGTCACGAGCAACACAGGTATGGTGGGAGTCAGTGAAAAGGAATTAACATCCCATGAATTACAAAACGTATTGATAGTATCAAATACTTCAAGGTGCCTTCGTCATCCAAGAAGGTTTACAGAGGAGAGAGGAAAAGCCATTATCTGACTCTAAGCGCTTGAAGTATTGTATTCACACGGTTATCTGGTGTCGAAAAGTCAAAACCCCATTAAAATTTCACATCCCCACCATTAAGTTTCCATAGACTAAACTTACTACACTAATACTGCCAGAGGATTACAGGAAGGTGAAAGTATGGGTGTTGAAAACCACCCCACACCCCGAAACCCTGAACATTTGCATTCAGGGGACCAAATACGCAATGAAGTTTATCGATCGGAAACAAAATAAACACAGAAAACTTGAGGGAAGCGAGGTCAAGTTAGTCGAAAGCACAGGTTCGAGCCAATAATCGGTAAACAAACAGCCGCTGCCAAATTCTCACGGTTCACCGAGGTGGGCAAAAAAAATAAAAAGGCCGTGTACAACTGCAGCACCAGGGCATAAGCTCGCTGTACCTCAAAGGCAAAGAAACTAAAATCTCGTTTGCATTCATACAATATACAATCAGAAACAAGAAAAAAACGACGTCAGCCTAGGTCAAGTAAACAAAGGAGCCCAGTGCTTACAAGCGATTGACATCGGCGTGACCTGTGCCGACATACTTGGCCTGTAAGTGCTCGAGCTGACTGTTGATGTTAAATCTGTCGCTGGCCTATCACACGGAAACACCAATTACGATATCAACATCAACACACGCGCTTCTTATGCGAATGAACACTAATTACATCATCGTCCAGCACTCTTCAGTGCAAGAAATTTCTCCAAACCCCAACAAACAAACGCCATGGAAACGATCAGCGAGAGCGAGCAGCCACGCACCTGCATGATGGGAGACTGAAACTATCGCATCCAAATGGGAATTGTGTACCAAATGAAACAAACTTCTCCGACCTGTAACAATCGGTGTGAGCGTGTACCGAAGTGCCTCGCGATCAACTCTGCGACAAAACCCACCATTCCCTGTTTCTCCCTCTCATCAGGAAACCCTAATCCCGAAGAAAGTTCACACTGCAATCTCGGTGGAAGGAACTTTTGATGGACTTTACTTTTTTTCACTTTTGCTTTAACGGGAACGATGGGCTGTAGGAATAACCTCTGGTGCGGCACTAATCCTGCCCACGCCAATCAGCTCTCAGGTGCCCCCCGTTTAGACGGATGGGGGATCCAAGCTTGTGGTAATACATTGATATAAATTAACGTACAAAAACCTCGAAGGCAGGTATTTGGGGAGTTAGTCTGCGTTTCGTGGGCGGCTAGGGTTCGGCGTTGTCCAGTAGTGTTGCATCTTGTGAGCGTCCTTCATGGTCTGTTCAAATAGTCTTTGACCATGCTTCATATCTGCTTCTAGCAGGTTGCTAGTCATTGAGCATGTTGCTTACAGAACACATTGGTATTTTTGTCCTGCTCAGACATGATTAGTGCATGTCTAAGACTTTGGTGGAGATGTCAGATATGGATGAAGACATAGATGGATGCTAGAGACATTGATAGAGTCAATCAAGTAGCATGGGTCGCACTGCAAATCACAATATTGACATGATAATGACTAGTTACATAGCAATTGGATGAATACAATGAGGAGTTTGTGACACATCCTAACATCCCTAACACGACAAGAAGACAAATAACATGACCATACAAAAGAACAAGGTGCCAACCTATCAATCCCAATACAATAAAGGTGATTCATTCACCATCATTAACAACCACTACAATATTAGATAATACAAAGCCAAGTCAACATATCTTCAATTACAAAGATCCCTCTTCTTTTTAATTGTTAAAGATTCTATTTGTAATGGGATATGGATAAAATATTCCTATTGTTGATGCATGGAGATAGGTAGTTGGAGCCATGTTAGAGAAGTTTCTAAGAGTTTTTAGAAGTTTTTAGAATTAGGACTAACTTGATGGTCTATATGGAATCTACCATAGAAAATTTTAGAAATGACTTAAGGCAAATATTTAGATAGAACCTACCATCAAAAATATTCTAGAAAATCCCAAGATGGATGGACAAAGTATAAATAGAATTAGTTAGGGCCATTTGAATAACCAATCAAGTATGGCTTTGGTCTCTTTCTCCTAGTAAAGTTTGGTTTTGCACTTTTTTCTTCAATTCTGTTTTATTCTCTTTTGCTCTATTCTGTCTTTTATATTTCATCCCATTTAGTTTTGTTTTAGTCTATATTGTCGTATATTGTGATGAAATTTATATTGCTATAGATTCTAAAGGTCTTAGATCTTAGAGATAATTTAGCCCCATTTCATTGGTATTAGAGAGAGCATTATTCTATTCTTTAGTAGTATGTTGATAGCCACCGTCTAGTTGGAGGTCATTTCTTTTGGTCACATCAAGTATTATTTTGGAGCTACTACAAGCTACTTTCAAGAAGTCAGTTGGAAAGAGAGAAGGCATTACAGTAATTGAGTTTAGTAAGGAAATTACAATATAGGAGTTATAGTAAAGCAATTCTAGATGGAGACTCAAATATAACACTTCTTAAGCCAAATAGCTACTCTATAAGGGCAAATGGAAGCTTCTAGGATAAAAAAATCAACATTTGCTAGGATGAAATTCAATAAGTTCGATACATACTATAGGACTTCAAGATAAGAAGATGTATGCCAATGGCTCTTTAATAAACAACAATACATCTAACTATATAGGAGAAACACCATTAAAGGAATTATGTATGCAATCAGCTATTTGAGAAGTGTCGTAACCATTTGGTGGCAACATTGAGTTCAAAGCTATGGAGTTCAATATAGATTTTGTCACTGGGAAGAGTTTGAAACTAGGTTTAGGAGTCAATTTCGGCCTATTAATGTGGAGAAGATAGCACACAATCAGTTGGCTAACCTTACGCAATCTAAGTGAGTATAAGATTATGTCTTCTGATTTAAGTTCTTATGTCTCTAAATTGACAATGTTTCAAAGGCAGAGATGATGGATTGATTTGTATGAGGATGAAAACTTGTGGTCTAGCAAGAGGTGGAATTAAGGGATCTATAAATATTTGAGGAAGAAATTGAAATTATACAGAGGATTAATGCTATAGATTTCAAAAATCATGGAGAACGTCCTATTATGCAAAGTCCTATGCCGCTGTCGTATTACGTGCTTTCTTGCTCAAGAACGCGTCGGGCGTCTGGCTGTAGAAGGTAGTATGGAGATTTGCTAATATTCAAGTAGTTTATCGGTTTTTTGACTGTTGGAATACAAACAATTACAAGAATACACCGTAAATCTATACGGATGCCCTTCGACTGCTTATCGAAGTCCTTTTTGCCCCAGCCGGTAGGTCTCTAGACGTTACAGAGAACCCCGAACAACCCAAACTGCTAATCTTTGATACCGCTTTATACTCACGATCTTGTATCTACTGACTGTCTTGTTAGATTAACCCAATAAATTTCATTCACTCCGCATACTCAATCCTATAGACACCCTTTTAACTCTTCATCACAGACGTAACTCGATTTCACAAAACAGTCAAGAGTAATAAAACCCACTTCATTAAAAACCCCGATTCACCATTACAACACTGACTTCAGCAACGATTACCTCAGTCTTCCCAAAACCCTATGAAGAAAAAAAACCCCAATTCTCTGTCTTCTTTCCCCACCCGAAGCATGAAGCTAGCTCTCCCGATCCTTCAAAACTCTCCCAAAAACTTATTCTCTCCCCTAACCTTATCCTCTGAATTTCTTCAATCTTTCGTCTTTGATCCGGAATTGGCTCCCACCGTCAGAGCTTGGATCCAAAATTGGCTCTCGCCGTCAGAGCTTTCTTCCACGTTTTTACCTTTAAGAGATCTTTTTATCGAAAACAACGTTCCCTAAAATGGCACAGAGAACAGTACAGCCTGAAACATAATCAAAACCTTGTAATCGGGACCACTTTGAGTCGCTCGACCAATTTAGGTCTCATATTGGCTAAGAGTCCAGTCGTAAGACCCGGATGTCCCCGTAATTGGATCAAATTGGTCCTTCACGTCAGATTGGCTGAGGCCTGTAGTAAGACCTGGATTTTCCCGTAATTAGACTGCATTGGGTTGCCCGTCCAATTTAGGTCTCATATTGGGTAAGAGGACCCGGATTGCATTCTTAAAATTGGATCCAATTGGCTCTTCGAACCAGGCTCACCCGTCGTGTGAATTGGTCCTTTCTCTTCCTGCTGACTCCCGTTATTGGAATCGAATGGAGCATTTCAGTATGCCCCGACTGACTGTAACGGGGTGACTGAACCTGACCACTCAATATTTGCACTGGAGTTGGTCGTTGCTCCCAATATTTCGAGGTAATTGAACATTAATAAAAGTCCCCTTTCTTTATATTTTCACGGTATACTCGTGTTACAACACGACATCCACCCCCTCTGAACCTGTACATCCTTCAATATGCACCAATTTACCCGATTGCTATTTGATTCAGAATATATCCTCTACGTCTTTATCTAATTTATCTTTGTCACCTTCATTATCCAAATCACTTTCATCTTCTTGTTATGGAATCTCTATACCTTCATTAAGGTCTTCCATATTCATCTCCGTGTGTCTTCGTTTAAATATTTTTACTCGCTTCCTTGCAATTGGTATTTTTAATTTTGTACCATCTAACTCCCGTAATGAGTAAGTCGCCTTATTATGAACAGTTGTTACTATATATGGTCCAAACCAACGTTTTGAAAATTTCCGCAAAGTACTATGTTGATTATCCAGACTATTGTCATAAACAAGTATCCAATCACCTTCTTCGATTGCTTTAGGTCTCAATCGATGTTGCTTGTCAAATCGCGCCTTGTTTTGTAACCTTGCTCTTTTTAACCTTTCTAATGCTATCTGCACATCTTCCGATCTTTGCTCCAATTGTCAAATCCTAATAGCCAGAAGTTCTTCTCTTGTCAATCCACCTTCCCATGGTAGCATACTCCAAGTAAGTACCTTTTCATCAATCGGCATAATTGGTTTTCGACCTGTCATAAGTTCTACTGGCATATATCCTGTCATCGAGTTATGTGTTGTTCGATCAACCCATAATGCAAATGACAAAAGCCGTGGCATCTCTCTAACTTTCCCATTACAAGCTTTAAGTAATGCTTTCACAATCTGTGGGTGACCGCGTTCGCTTTTTGCATTCCCTTCTAGATTATAAGCAGTAGTCAGTGATAGTTTAACTCCACATTTTTCAAAGAACTTACGAGCTTCTTGTGCATTTAATTCTCCACGACCTGCAGTGATTTTTTCTACGCATCCGTAGCAGCAAATGACATCTTCAAGCAAAAACCTACAAATCCCCTCTATAGATTTTGTCCTCAATGCTCTTCCTTCTACTTGATTTGACAAATCTTCACGAGCTAAAACCAAATATCTCATCTGCCATAACCCAACCGGCATAATAACCAAATCAACAACCCATTTAAAATGAATAGCCAGAGGATACATAGGATGAAGACCATCTCGATGTCGGATATTAGAATACGATTGACAGATTTCACATGACTCTACAAATGAGAGTACATCTCGATACATATTTTTCCACCAATATCGTTCCTTGAGTTTAGCAAAAGTAGCCCAGATTCCTCTATGCCCTGCCCATAAACTATCATGAAACCCCTTTAATAATTTAAGTCTTTCTTCCTTTTTGCCTATCACTCGCTGTGGCATCCCAATTCCTTTCTTCGGTCTCTTCCATAAGAATCCATCTCGAAGTAAAAATCCATATGCTTTTTTTCTTATTTGTTTGAATTTTTCTATAGGCCAATTCTCCTGCTTAGTCAAGGTATTCAAATAATGACCAATATCCAATAATTCTCCTTCATAAGATTCTTCAAGAAATAGCTTGTCTTCTCTGTTGAGATTTGATATTGAATAGAATTTCAATCCGACATCATCAATGTCTTCAACCATTTCGTCCTCCTTCTCGTATCTTGCTCGAGATAGCATGTCTACTACTAAATTGTCCTTCCCAGTGATATGC